TCTTTGTTGCTTTCACTATTATTAATATTGTAAAACTCATTGAAAGTGAAAGCAGTGAAAGAGTAGTCTGAACTATTAATAACTTTGTCACGTGCTTGGAAACGTAAAGAAATCCGCTTTCAACGCATTATTATGGGAAATTAATTACATGTACATATTATACTTTCGTCTGGGAATTGAACCTGGGATCTCCTCCTCCAAGTCCAGTACATTACCAATGTTCTTACCGGTTGCTTCTTTGTTGCACAAAAGTTGTAATGTAGTACTGGACATTTACTTTGGGTTGGGCCCTAGACGGTCAGAGAGTAAGTATAAGAACGCATAGGTTGGGCCACGTGTGGATAAGTTCTTTAGTAAAGCCTTTTTTCCTTCTTTTTCTTCTATTCTTTCTTTTTTCATTTCTCCTCCCACTGAATGGAGTGCATGCACTCTGCCATGAAAATGGGATTAGTATGAGGGTTTTTGTAAAGTAGACAAGTCTGACTCATTCCTTTTGATTTTCTGTTTGTTTGTTTGTTTGTTTGTTTGTTTGTTTGTTTGTTTGTTTGTTTGTTTTTTGTTGTTTTTGTCCCTTGCCCATTTCTATGAGATTGACGCCTTCGGTAAAGAGTAGAAAAGGTGCTTTTAGTTTTAGTAATTTAGTAAGAGTTTTACGGCACTTGCAACGCTAAAATGTCATATAAGTGCTGAAGATTAGAGGTGTTTTAAAAGGGTGCTTATTATAGTGTTCAATAGTGTATTACGTATAGAATTGTCACACATAATATGTTAATAATAACTGTTACAAATAAAGATTCAAGGAATACAGATGTATGTCAACGATCTGAGAGCAATGGTTACTGTAGATATGACAGTGGTGGTGGGTGATGATGTTGGATGATGTTTGTGTAATGTTAGCGTTTGTCATTTAACACGAATTTCCTTTTCCAAAGACACAACGTCGGACCAAGCTGACGCTCGAGCCCCCGAAGAGATAGGTCTATTTTGGAAAGAGTTAAATGTGTCTATAAATAACCTAATAATGTTGATAGAGGCGTTAAACATACAATTTTACATGTCAGACCAATCTCTGGTGTCTTTCATATTATTCATTATAGTTCGCTAAGAATACCTTGCACTCGGGGTTTCCTGGTACCCATTTTGCAAATTCAGCATTGACCGGCTGCCTCATATCATAGCAAGTTTCACACCGACACTTTTCTTGTTCTTTATACACACATTGGTTGTCATAGCAACAAGGAGTGTCGCCGTCGGGATCGCACAGCGCCCGGAACCAGTGAAGATTGTGCATCCGACCTTCCAGTTCATCGAACGACACATTTCCTTGGAGAATGAGAAACATAAAACAGAAATCTATCAATCCATCGGTATCATTCAATCAATTTAAAAAGCCGTCCAACCAATGTAACTATCATTCAGTTAAAGTACCCGTTTAATCTTCTATGCAATTAAAAATTTAACTACCACTTAACCAATATAAACATCATCTAATCAAATAACTACCAATAACAAATATGACTAATATTCGTTGCATACATATGTACAGTAAGGTTATCTACTGGTCAACTTATTGAACAATTAGTTCACCAATATAACTATCAGCCAATTAATCTACAGTTCAGTCTAGTTGTGCAATCCACTAATAGTTTTTTAGGGTTTTCAGGGCGAGTGTGTGCATTTAAACTATCATCAGGAAACATTTCAACATTTCGCCGTATTTAAAAAAAGATTATTCAATTATAGATCAGGCTCTTACAATTCCAATTTCTTATCTGTGTTTTTTTTTTTTTTTTACTTGGAGGT